TCTCATTGAAAAGCCTTGTTGATCAGATATCCGAATTCTGGTGCTTCGATTCCATGGCGACTTTCCCATTTCTTGGTGCTGTCCATTTGAGCAGTGAGCTGGTGACCCTCTACCACAGAAGAAACTGGTTGGCTAACCCTGAAATTTTTGACTGGCCTCTAGGGCCCAGAGTGCGCCGTGTCGTTGAGCCACTTGAACCACTTGAGCCGCGAGGGCCCAAGGGGCTCTGCTGAGACCTTTGAGCGCATTCTGGATGATTTGGAAGTCTCTTGAAATGGAGTACACAAAAAAAAAAATGCTACTTCACAGGAAAAACATAAGATAAATCATAGAATAAGGTGGGGTACCCCTAAATGTTCAGAGAAAGCCATTTGTAAAATTCAATCGTTGGACTAACCACTGAGGTCGAGGGAAGTCAGGATATCCAGGATACCCAGAATACCCAGGTCCCAAGAGGAACTTCTAGTTGGATAAACGGTGAACATATGTGATGCTGAATCCATCAAATCCATTAAAATCCCAAAAAGGCAAAAAATCTAAGTGTATGTTTACAACATGTGACAACGCATCCAGACTATGTCACCATGTTTCTTTAATGATGTTTGTATAACATGGCTTTAACCTCCGAAGAACGATCCAAACGATGTCAATTTCATGGCTTATCTCATGGCCTATCTTATGGCCTCCAAAACACTATTCTGATGATACCGTCTCATATCAATTCATATCATATTTTTCCCAAATTTGATTTGATTCCCATGAAGTCATAAGCAACACTAGTGATGCAACAATATCCAATCCCAAAGCTAGTGTTCATTCCGTTCATTCCATCAAGTTGACCATTTCAGCTTCACCATTCATGGTGAGCTTGTTAGGAGGATCCTGAACTCCGAACGCCACGACAGTTAGAGCTGCGCAGCAAAGTCACAAGCCTGAAATGTAGGGGTATGCATTGGGATATCATGTGTCATTACATATAATTCATCATTCTGTGATTCTCCGACTATGTTCCATGGGATTTGCTGGATTTGCTGTTTACATCTCTTGTTTGGCGACCTCACCCTATAGTGTCTGAGGAGAAAGTGCGTGATCTCGCCTTTCTGCCAACCAACCGTTTCTTTACAAAACAAACCAAAATGATTTCAAAATTCTATGTGGTTGGGAAGCTCTTGGTAGCTCTTGGTAGCTCCCTCACCACCCAGGAAATATCGATCCACAGCGATCCCATTGGTTTGGGTTATGAATAGATCCACCATCTGGGCCCAGTTTTGACCTATACCTCGTTACCTCGTTACCTCGTCGCAAAGGAACCCATCGGATTCGATCGTGGATGCCCGAGTACTGATTGAATCTGAAAGTTCCTGGCGCCGCTTCATCTCTTGGGGCAGGACCCGATTAGTAAATAGTTATCATACATTGTTACATTATCAGACTATATCATAATCCAGGTTAATAATGGTGGTATATTTTCCCTAATCCAGCTGGCTTAGATTTCTTTGGTTATTGGCTACTTATAATGCCCGGGATCAACATCCAAGTAGTTTGTAATAAAGAATAGGTCATAAACTGGATTATACATGGGGCAAGAAGGGTTAGGCCACACTCATGACTAGGATAATAAGCTGGCAACAGGGGGCAGCTCTATTCCACTGCAGGGTTTCTTGATCTTGTGGCAACTGCTCTGATATATCTTTAAATATATACTTTTAAATAACAAACCATCAATGGCACATATCTTCATCAAACAGGATGTGCACACATTCACCAAAACCAAGAATGGGGAAAAACAGAGCGCTTTAACTTTATATTTCCTAGACTTCTGTGACCCCCAGAGCAATGATTTTCCGGCGCGTCATATGATGAATTACTTGCCAACTGCAATGGTTGAATGAGAACTTCTGAACATTGGTAATTTGATCCTGTGCGTGGGAAGTATCAACTTCTTTGCTCAAGTTGTGTGACACCCATTGGATACTCTGGATGCCTTTGATAAACGGTTGTGCAAAACGTCAGCTGATCATATCATGTCATCCTTTCGAACCATGCGTGTTTGCCAAACAAGGTATGCCCAAAAGTCCAGTGGTTGATGAGTTTTGCCCCATTCAAACAGCCAACATCTGGAGGTACATTCCCCACCTACTTGGACGAACTCAACCCACGGATAAATCATCACTTTCTATAAGCTTCATCATGAAACATCCAAAATCCCCCAAGCATCTGTGGTTATCCTACTTAAATCTCATTTTCTGTGGGGACAAAAAAGCGGCCGTAACCCTTATGGCCCTCGCCTGGTCAAAGTGAACCTTCTTTGAAATGGGTGGTGTGCACGGCTCCGCCCGGACGTCAAGGTTGTCGCCCTGAATCAGGTGCTTCGATTCCTGGGAGGCCATAGATATGGAAAAGCACCCATTGTAGATCATGTCTGAACAGTAAAATGATGGAATTCCAAAGCTATGGTAGTTTACTGGATGGTAACAATGATCATCATCAGATCACCAGATCATCAGATCATCAGATCATCCCACACAAAATCCTGGGGGTGGCGAGCGACAGGGATGGAATTTCGATGATCATCCCCACTATATAGTTGTTTTACAACCCGTATAAATGACCCATGTTTTATCGTTAATCCATACATATTATATATATATATATGTATATATTGTATTATAAATATTATATATATATAATTATGTATACACACAGCCTATTTCATATGGTCCCTACTTAACCGATTCCTGGGGCACATAGGCATTGCCAGGACTGTCGCTAAGTTGATTGCTGAGTTGCTGGACTCAAGCTGGTGCTGTCACACAGTTCAACCTCCAGATTCCTGAGGAATCGGAAAACATCGAGTCAGATAGCTCGACCTTTTGGATGTCGATGGAAAAACAAGACTCGAGCGGGCCTGGATGGTTGATAAAAACCAAAAACTGTGTATGGCCACGGTATGGCTGAAGCTTTAAGACCAGTCTTTATCGCCATATACCTGCTGATCAAACCTAGTATGAAACCATCCCAGCTAGGGCCATACTCGCATTGTATACAAATGGCTGTGGGTGAAAACAGTCAGAACTATCAACAGCTTGAAATGGATGGTTTCAAATCGAAATGACCATTCTCTTACGAGTCCAAAGAGGTGCCCAAACCAACTAACGGTCACTGCTTGGATCTGGATGAACCAGAAAAAATCCACCAACGTTAACAGTTCGGCCTTGTAGGGGATAGATCCCCCAATCCAATTCCCATCATTCCAGTTTTCCTTCGCGGGTCAAGTCGCGATCAAACAGATCATTCCAGATCCAGAATCTACCCATTATAATTATCCCTATTACATCCTAATATTTTTTGGATAAACCATAATATGTTTAGCGGCAAACCCATTCGAACATATTAGCTGTTTCACCACTGCGCACCAGGCATCGAAGACGACTCGTCCTGATCATCCTCACTCTCCCTGATTACAAGCTCGTGTTGTTGATCACCTGCCGTCTTTGAAAGCCGCGTCCAACACAGCATCAACTGTAGTAGTTGTGTTCTCATCAAGCTGTGATCTACGAATAGCCAAGAAACGGTTTCTGAAAGACATTCTTGGACATCACAGATGAGCGTTATCATGAAACTGATGCAAAATTAAGCAAAATACAGACTTTCCGGCACTCCAATGATTGTTTAACAAACATTGTGTGCAGAACTAGGACCAGCTGTGCAAACACGGCATGACACCATGCTATTCCGCTATGTAGTTTTCAAACCAGTTTGGAGGTTTCCTAAAATAGGGGTACCGTCTCAGATGTTGGCTGACACCGTCTATCCATCTCCAGCCTGTGGGAATGAAGCAAGATGACAGTCCCAGCCACGACATGGCGACAAAAAATCTACCGAAATCTGTACAAGAGCTCTGCACGTTCACAAAAACACCGTCAACGTACTGTGGATGTATCCACATATTCAAAAGTTGGAATCAAAGCTGCACACACATTGCTTACACAAGGTTCGGCAGGCCCTTCGACGCTCAACGACCCAGTCCCACGGAATAGCACTAGCTTTGCAAGTGCTTTGGACGAATTTCTGCACTGTCCTCTGAACCCGAAAAATGGTGAACAAGTCGTATGCACATTCTGCACAAGCCTGAAATCAAACCTTTTTTGAGATGACCTACTAATCAGCTGTGGTGAGGTCAACTGGATTCGTCGCTGAGCTGCCCTCGTTTCGGGTGTGACCTTACGCATACAGTATCATGCTCTGGCCCCAAGTCATCAAGCGCATCTGGGTTCACAGCATCTTGAATAGAAAACAAAGGGAAAGTCAGCTACCCCACAAAAACTGGAAGAACCCTGGTTGATGAATTTGGAGGGTATATCCCAAGAAACGATGCCTTATTTGAGAGGTACACTAATTCCAGGGCTAGCACTAGCCAGAAATCATCCAGCACACGGAGTAAATGGCTCAAAGTATTTTGCCGCCAAAAAATGGATGGGTAAATGCCACAACTAAAATCACCAGCTTTCTGTGGGTGCATTCAATGGCATCCCATCTTAGGTCTCCTTTCCCCGAAATTTCTGACTGAGGCCCCCAAACCCCAATTCCTCTGAAGGTCTTCGCGTGAAGGCTAGTGCCAAAACTCCAAAGAGAAGTTCCCTGGGGCAGGTTTCACAGACCATGTCGGCCATGTCCGGTTACATCAAAAATCACACCAGGGAGGCGTCAAATGCAATCTCAAAACCACGGGGAAATCATCGCAAATGAAATTTCAAAATCGATGTAGACTCCTTGTGGATCCTTGTGGTATTTTGATGTGTTTGACTTGCTGCAGTGTGTGTGTGTGTGGGCAACAACTGACGAATGAATGTCGCAGCTATATATTATGCCTTTGTGCACCAAACACCAGGACGTACCATCAGGCTAACCCCAGAGGACTTCTGTGCATGCCAGCTGGGGACAACGGGCGGCAATCTAAGCATGACAGTCAATCGGAAACAAGGTTCTTTGACTTGTTGGTTTGGTTGTCTTTGAACTGACATGCTCAGGCAACCCTGCAGCAAATTTCAGTTGCAACCTGGAGTCTAAGGCAGCAAAGTGCGCCGGCTCCAGGGTTTCCCAATGCAAAACCTCGGAAAAAAATATCAAAAGGGTCGGTAGTGGTCCATGCGGTTGTGCCACACCCAGATTCTTTGCTCAGCCCATCCAACGGCTTCGGCCTGTGCCCACAGCACGACACAAAACACAGGGAAAAAACACATCGCACCTCGATGGATTTTTGTAAATGTTATGAGTTTGGCGTCCAATCAAGATATTTTATGAATTTGATACTTCAACAAACATACAACCCCCCTGACCCAACACAAATGACAGACTATTCCACCCAACTTTGCGCCTGTCCGGTGACCACAACTCCATCACCATCAGATGATACAGAGTTAACGCCCTGACAATCATGCAGTTCTCGTTGCAGGTCATCCCGAAAGCGAGTAATCAGCCATGCATCCATGGGGACTCTGACAGTCACTTGGAATGTTCTCCTTATCCGGTCTGCTTCCGCAATGCATGTTGGCATGTTCCCATGGATCACCAGTTTCTTGGCCTCTTCGACCCACTCAGCATCCAGACCAGCTGATTTTCGAAGGCGCTTCAGACCACCCATTCCGACATCACGATTGAAGTCACCCACGGACTCAAAGTAGATGATTTCCTTGTGGAAGAGCCTTTTGATCGTTGCCACACAGGCATCAACATCTTCTTCACCACCAATGATGGAAACTGCCATGGCGGGTTCCAAGCTGTCAGCACGTAGTTGTAGTTTGGGCACATTGATGTTGACCTTGTATCGTTCCTCAAGCTCCCGAATGTGTTTCCCTTTGAATCCAATGAGGCGACCTCGGGACTTTGCTGGTATCTCCACTGTGCCGCGGACTTTGGGGACCCGCCGAGCTGGGGCTGGAACAGCCGGGGCTGGAGGGGCATACTGGGCTGGGGCTGGAACTTCACTGTCACTGGATGATACGGACGAACTGGACGACCTGGATGGAGACCTCCTCACTTCAGGCCGCGCAGCAGCTCTTGGCTGTGCATGCGCTGCAGGCTTCGCCTTTTCCATCCTCTTCATCGCCAGCTCTAGCAACACCACTGATCGATCAGCTCGCTGCTTCAGCACACCTGGTGCTGGACCCTCCTCATCCACCTGCTCGTCGTCATCCTCAGAGTTGCTGGGATCTTCTGCCGCTGCAGGTGGTTGGAGCATGACTACACGATCTCTGCCATCTCCACCCTGTGCAGCAGCCTGTTGTGGGAACAGGTCAGGCAGCCTTTGCTGTAGTTGTGATAGTTCATCTGCACTGAGTCCTGATCAGGTCCGTTTTACAAACAAGACATTGCAGCAAACTGTGTGAACACCAAAGATTCTTGGTGTTTCAGGAAAAGGTTCTGTTTTTGACTTACAGCCTCACAGTCCCCGTTTAAGTTCAAGGTTTCTACTCCCAAGCTCCAACCAGTACGAACTCCCAGAAGCAAACCATGGTGAATATTCCAGCTGTTTTTGAGGACTGATTATTTCCCAATTATATCCCAATTATTATATCCCAATATTCCCAGTTATGTCCCAATATTGTTAACCTCATCTGAATTGGATCTCAACCGCCATTAAACTCATTCGTCAACAAGAAACAAATCTTCACAACACTCTCCGTACATCACCGTCCTGCCCGAACTCCATGAAAATGCCCATAGATGCAGCACAACTGCAGGGTACCAATTCTGCCACCCATGCCTGGGTCGATCTTGGATACCGCGCAAAGAAAAAACATTTTGGATTGGCTAGCACATATCACACATATCACATACCCGCACCTGGTGACAAACATGCGGACATCGTGCCCAATCAAAAAGTGATCTTTTTGTTGGTTATCCCTATTTGCAGGTTGGAAAACTACCCAAAAGAACGTGTGGCCAAAAAAGGTGAAGGCCTTGAGCCGGTCCAAGGTTTCCCCAGTTCAGGGAACAATGTCCCCAAATCTTGGGAAAAATGACTTGCGGTAAACCATGGTAAACCCAGCTAATAAACCATCCCCAATATTACTGCCTTAAAGGGATCGAGGTGGGTGGTAAAGATCATCCCCAATGGTAATGGTTACTTGGGGGTGAATCCCAACTTAAGTCTCACGAGATACAAGTGGGGTATATCCTGCATCTGAGTGGGTTGCTGTGTAATATTGCTATTACCTTTTACATCCTTTTACTAACTGGGATGCACATCCAATCTGTGCAGCGAGGCACCGCCAATCTGTCGGTCCTTGGTCTGGTTGCTGTCATAAATCTTCGCAGCCAGGTGGGTTCTGGCCAGGAAGGCCCGCAACCGTTTCTCTTCGTCCTCCTGGCAGGTGCGGCACGAAGCTGAGCCGCGTCAGCTTTCTGTACCCTAGTGGAAACCAACATAATCTTGAACCATCCATTTCGGACAAGTATGCCCAACTTAGGTAGTAAAATCCACGGGTAATGCATTTCCATGATCATTTTAAGGAGGCTGTAAACCAACACATGTTCTCCCAAAAATCCAATCCAAATGTTTTCATACTGTAGTAGTACTCTATATATATATATCCCTTTTCTACCCATCATCATGAATCTACTGGATGCCCTTCCTCCACATCGAGGGCTGGGAAAAGTGTCTGGAGTCTCGATGCCATGACACCAGGTTTGCCAAATCCAATGGCCCTTCCAACAGCTGCCCAAAGGCTTGAAGATCTTTGAACTCGGAGCCCCTGGGGCAACCTTGGACTCGCTTCACTGCCGGAATGCACTGGATTTTCAAATTTTGGCGTCCCTCTTGAGAGTGTCGTTCATATTTGGGGGAAGTGACCACTGGCATTCTCACAAAAGAAAGAGTGACCATAGCGTTGGAATACTGCAAGCAGCTTGCACGCCTACCGTACTGTATTTTGGTGTTGGGTCAAGAGTCTACCCATCATCTACTGTTATTTTAAGTTATGGTCCAATGATGTGTTCGGTTCTGGGTTCAACGTGCAGAAATCTTTTGGCCATCCCCACTTTTGTTGTTGCCGGGGTCCGAAACTGGTTGAAGCTCGGTGTTGCGATGGAACACCCGAGGATGGCCGAGAGAGACGGCTTATATTTACCAGCACTGTTGACGAGATATGGAAAAAAACGCCAAAACATTGTTTGGCGTCTTCCTGAAAGCTGGTTGTATGTGTGTATATATATATATATGAAAATAATACATCCACGTTGACAAACCCAAAGTTTCCACAAGAACACATGGACATAATGGACATATATGACCATGCAAATAACATGAACAACACCAATTATATAGTTTCTGTTAATTTCCGCATTTTGGGCCCTGCCATGGCCAACAAAAACGGTCAAACCTCATGACCAAAAACAACGAATGCATACATATGGTCTTCCATGAGAAGGCCTCCCAAAGAATTGGTTCGCTTGGAATACTGACCTGATGCATCTTTCAATGGCTGATATCCCCTTAAAATGAAATTTGAAGATGTCTTGCGGGATTAACCATTCCTACAAAAGTTTTCTGTCAAGTCACCTGGCATTCAGAGCACTGTCCGCCCATGCCTTCGGCTGGGCACCTCTCAATCTTGGGCGCCGATCTCGCACCGCATCATCACCGCCACGTGCTTCAGGTCGAACTCGAGGACCAGCCGGCGTGTCACGTCGTCGGTCCATACCCAGGACCTTATTGGTGGCAAGTGCTGAGCTATCAAATGGAAAAAGCACAGTGCCACTTGTGTCACACATGTGGAATTACATGTTGATCTTTGTTCTGAATACCGATGAATGTCTGCTAGATGATTTGATGGGGGGACCCGTACACTTACACTTACACCACATTAAAAAAACTTTACAGAGATGCAGGCTGGGCAACAAACCTGTTTTCGCTGTTGCATCATGCTCCATCATCACCAGAGACTTGCTTTCACAAACACGTACATGTGCAATGTGCGTGCTTTTGTGCACAAACCATTTAGGAGTTCACACCTTATGTTTGGCTGGTGCTCGAAGCCTGAACTTTGGCAAGCGGCATTTCGCAAAGCTCTCCTCACAACCTCCAGGGACTCGCCCGCATCGATGATGGCCTGCAGCTCGGCCTCCCAGTCATCTCTGGCCAGAATCCCTCGAAGCTTCTTCTGCCACATCGTGATGTCCTTCCGGCCCCTGGGCAATGCAAACTCGTGTCAGTGGGATGAATTTGCTAAAAATGTGCTTCGAAGTTTGATATGCCTCAAAAACATTTCGACATAAGCTGCTGCAACATGATGCAACATGCCCTTCCGATTGTCCAAAACCATTTTTGACATTTTTTGACCACCTTTCACTCACACAAGAACTTGCTACAACATGGCGAGTGTTTACCACAAAATATAAACGGGTATCATTCTCAAGCCTGATTTTTTTCTTAAATGGCAATTGCAGCAAGATGCAGCAAGTATGTGATGCTTATGTGTTGCTTTGGCCGTTGAGAATGCAACCGGATTCAAACAAGGTGACTGAGGTGAAGACCTCTTCTCTCGCAACAAGGCTCTGGAGCATTCCTTCCCTGCATACAAGATTGCTTTGTGCAACCGAAAGGGTCTGGTCTCTCTGTCGAAGCACCGTAGCAGGTAGAGGTGGCTGGGGCACTTCTGGTTGCACAAGTCGCAGTTCGTCTCATGGTCCCAGTGGGGCAGAGCTGCAGCATCACGGAAGTTTCTGGAGAACCGCGCCCGAGGGCCATGACAGCTTGCGATCACGAACTCGAAGTCCTCACGAAGCTCTGGCCTCAACGGGCAGTCAGGGGGCAGGCCCACCCTGCTCTTGAAGCATGTGTCGATGGACTTGTCTACTCTGCACATGGCTGACTCGTCAAAGTCCTGCAAGCTGAGTGACTCCCCTGGCAAAGAAACCAGAAAGTTTGGCATATGGAATTTCCAGGTTGTTTCAATCACGGGTGGCGACTTGAGCAATGCCTTTCTACACTTGAGAAATCACACCAAAAGCATGAATTCCAAAGCAATGCATTCTGCAATTTTCCACTTATTCAGGAGAAAACAATTTTCCATGATATTCCATGAAAACGGTTGAAAACAGCAGTCCTGCAAGACTGCAGCTACAAGTACTGCTGGCCCCTCTGAAGGCCGTTGGAACGCTGGCCTGGCTGGCTCGTCCGGCTCCTCCTCTTTCACCATAGGAACTTCTGCTGCACCCTCAGCTGCCTCAGCTGGCTCTGCTGCCTCAGCTGGAAGTTGCCTTCTTCGCCTCTTGGCTGGACCTCGGTCCTTCAAACCAGGCCTCTTTCGCACCACCGCGGCACCAGCAGCACTGGCACCGGCATCAGCCGCCCCAGCCACGGCCTTGGCCTTCGGCTGCCCAACAGCTCCACCAGCCTTCTGTCGTTTCGGTCCTTTGGCAGGTTGAAGTTTGAGCTTCTGCTGCTTCAGCTGCTCCACTTCCTCCTAAGGGCAGTGAAATGCATCATTTGAATCATAACATTTCCCAAACATTGAGGGTATCCACTGCAACCAACTGCAACCATCAATTCAGCTGATTCACTTTATATCATTTCTAAGCAGATCAACAAGGGCATCAAGAATTGCCAGTCCCACCCAATCTCATCCACTCAAACTGTCCTTCGACTTCCCGTTTGCCAGCTCCACATAGCAAAGCCTGCACAGGCGCATGGCTTGCTCCAGAGACCCGGCTTGCTTCGTGGTGACTTGCATCACCGGCAACCGGGCTGACGCCTTGATAACGGCCCTCTCCTCACCTCTGGCAACCACGTAGCTGTGGGCATCATGGCCCGCGGGTGCGTCTTCGCACTCCATCGTGGCTGCTTCTAAAGAGCTGTTCTGTTCTTTCTGGCTTGGTTTCTAGGAATTTCATGGAAAATCTGAACACTTCTACCCTCCAAGTATCCGGGGTTGAGTGTCTTCAAGCAATTCTCGCAATCTGAATAGCATGCTGGCGAAGTGGGACCTGATTATTTGCCAGCTGATCCCGCTGCTGTGGGGCTATGAGTGTCAATGGCTTGACTGATACTCATGTTCCACACTCTGACTGTGGCTGGCTGTGAAAGGATGCGAAAGCAGGCAAAGTGAAGTCACAACAGGGCATTGCACAGTGCCAAGGAAATCATGGAGATATGTTTGCTTTTGACGTTGCCTGCAATCTGGATTCAGTGGTGGGTCGAGTGGAATACAAGTTCAACGATTAGCAAAGCCAAAATCAAAATGGTCATGCAATGTCGATGATGGCTGCGAATTTCTAAACACACATAATTGACATAGATGCAAAGCTTCTGTCACCTTTCGGATTGAGCCTCTCCCAGCACCGCTCTCGCTCGAACTCCTGAAACAGATGTGGGCAACATCCCAGCCAGAACTGGTGCGTAGCGCCCATGATTGTGGCATTAAGCACCTAAGACTGTACCCAAGTATTCCCAGTTTGGGGTAGTCTATTTATAACCCATTTCTAATATTTCTATTATATACCCCCTCTAGACAGAACTGATATAACTCTCTTAGAGGCACCATGTGTAGTGCACCGGCCCACGATATCATCGCGGTGACCGCAACTTCCCATAGACATTCGTCATCCGGGATCGTCCCAAATATGGTTGAGAGTAGAAACGTATGTGAAACCACCGTCCCAATATCATATTGTTGGTTATACCCCATTACACCCCAAATGAGCCGTGAAAAGAGCCCTATCCCATCCCATTATACTCAGTCAGAAGAAGTTCATAATTAATAATCCCCAATACACCCATATGAGTATATTAAGCCCCCTGTATTAACCCATCATCAAAGGTATCTTGCCGGCCCATCCCTCGTCTCCTCCTCCTCCTCATCCCACAGCTCTGGCGCCAGACCGCCACTTGCCTTCCAGGCACCTGGGGAGCGATGTGCATTACAGGCATCGAAAGTGGTTTAGGACCCGTATCTAGAAACTGATCTGGGGATAATATCATATAATATCCATATATTTCACTTCATGATATTATGCCTATTCAATGTACATGACAATTCAATGCAATTCATCTAAGTGTGGGGATATAACTGGTATAACCAATAAAATTCAGCTGGTTGTAAGATGCCTGGTACAACGCACTCGTAGGTCAGACCCAACACGAGCTAGAAGGCACCTGTGTAGGATGTAACCAATCTGAAACCCTGGGTTCATAAACTACTATAAATTATCAGGTTCCCCAACGACATTATGTATAGATATGCTCTATGATATTATACATACTTGATTGTAATGTAATGTTATGTTATGTTATGTTATGTTGTGTTATGTTATGTTATGTTATGTATGTACGTATGTCTGTATGTCTGTATGTGTGTATGTGTGTATGTGTGTATGTGTGTATATGTGTGTATATGTGTGTATATGTGTGTATGTGTGTGTATGTGTGTGTGTCTGTATGTCTGTCTGTCTGTCTGTCCGTCCGTCCGTCCGTCCGTCCGTCCGTCCGTCCGTCCGTCCGTCCGTCCGTCTGTCTGTCTGTCTAACGGGGATGCATATCCAAGTAGTAGCTTCCCTGCAACTGTGCAGCAAATAGCAGGTTCCCACCACCCATGTTGCTGAGAAGCCCTGTCTATCTATATTATATATCTAGAATCAGGTCTAGGGTCGGCACCAACATTGTCAGTCTGAGAGGAAAAACTTTCAGGGAAAATCATAATATAAGCCACTGGATCCCCTAGTTTTGGTCAGTTTGAACAAATGGAATACATGTACTATACATGTTCAAATCGGGGAGTAGAGTTTGAAAGGCCCCACCAAACCCACAAATGGCCAGCTTTCTGCATCCACTGGGCCCCCTGCTGAGTTGTGCCCAAACTGTATCGGGGCCGGCGAACAGAAGCCGGGCCGCCACCACCTGCAATCAAAGGGGTCGGCAAGGCAGTTGTACAAACCAAAATATGACTTAAGCAATGAGGTAAAGCCAAGATTCATTGGACAAAATGATGATTGAGATAACTATTGAGATAGTCATGGGATGAGTGTATATCATTAATATGTAGTATAACGGTCCCCAATTGGGGGGTACTACTTATATATATATAATTTCAGAGCCATGCAAAGTGCAACATGTTGGGTCAAACATGTTGTTCACACCGGCCAAGCGCGGACGCTGATCCCTACACCTCAGGCATACCATCCTGACTGATATCTTGGGGCTTAATGTGGTAAACCCAATCATAAACCATACCCAATATCACCATTAATTGGTTTTAAATATCATCCTGAAATGGTAGGTTTATTATTGGGTTCACAAGTCACTCCAGTCGGGTATTTGTTGATTACTTTCAATCATTTGCATATGGATCTGCATGCATTGGGGTACCAATTGCCCCTCAAAGTTCTTCATCTTCAGCATTTTTAAGTACCACTCATGTTGGAACTTACTGCGTCCAAAAGATCACTTGAGGAAGCATTTGGACTCGCCGAAAATGGTCCTCCTGTACTTGAAACTCCTCCAATTGTAGATATGATTTACCTCATTTTACCCCAACAAAAACATGATTTCACGTGTCAAGACCCTAACTTGACCAGGTCAATTCCGATTGTTTATTGACCCTCTTTGGTAAGAACGGGACATCCATCCCATCAGCAAAGCGGGCCTCACAAGCTCTAAGCCAAAGATTTCCTGCTCCCAGGAGAGCAGAACCCTGCAAGGCCTGGTGCCGTGGTAGCGGTGCCACCAGGTCAGCCGGGCGAAAGTTACGGGACTTCGAAACTGGTTGTATCTCGAAAGCTTTGGGGATCACCATGATATGGGGATATGTTCTGGAATGTATCGCCAGTATGATATCTGGCTTTGTCCAAAACTGGGGGATATGGACCTGATTTCATGGCCCTTTTTGAGGGGGAGTTGAGATTTTTTTTAAGACAAACCAATTCAGCAACAAAGATTAAGGGCGATGTAAGCAAAGGAAGCTGGGATATGAAGCAACAAAACGTTCAAATCTATCTCAGCATCAAATACCTAAAACTGGAAACAAAGAAGGGGACGTAACACTGAGTAACACAAACATGGTTTAACCGTTTCAACACTGGGATGTTCGCTAACAAAATAACCGGTTGTCCAAACATCCAGCGATCTATCATTATCTCCCACAATGAATAGCTATTTTGGGCTATTTTGGGGCATACATATCCGAGTAAATATCCCAGGTGATATCTCCCCCACATGAAATAGCTTGCTATATTCCCTCAATATTTCCCATCATGGTTGGATATACATGTTCCGAGTAAATATTCCCATGAAATATCGCTTGCACTCCTCCAGAATTTGGTAAACCCCATGCCACACGCGCCTGTGCAGAAAGGCTCACTGCCCGTGCTGTGTCGCCTGCAAATTTCTTCGTGAAATCGGTGAACTTTGAACGGAAAGTACATGGGGCTATCAATGGGGATGTATAATATGAACTTTACATATAAGAAAAGTTATACATATATATATATATGTTTAACCAACTATAAGGGAGATAATGCAATGAATACATGTATATATATAATACATATGACTTATTTATTGTTTAGTTTAGATAAAACATGTATCACTCCATTCAAGTTTTACGCCTGGAGGTCATATTTCGCCTAGAGGTCAGATGCGGAAACATAGGTTGCTGTGCCAGGAGTATCTGTCCTGCTGATTGGCTAGTGACTCATTGTGCTGATGGTGATGAAAGCCAAACAACGGCAACAACTGGCAGTATGATTATGATCCATCCAAAAAACAAATGGCGATGCGGATGAGGCTGAGCATGATGATGCCAATGCTGGCAATGATGGTGGAGTGGTGATGATGGCAATGCTGGCAATGCTGGCAATGCTGGCAATGATCCTTAGTAGTAATAGTAGTTGCAATAATGTAAATGAATAACAAATAATATGATAGTGTGGTAAACCCAATCATGAACTATCCCCGATACCACCAATTTTTATGGGTGCTCTAAACCATCCCCAAAGGTAGGTTTATTATTGATTATAATAAGGGACAAATAATCTCAGTATAATATGATCAATGATCAATGATCAACGATAATGATCAATATTGTGGTAGTATTACCACTACTTTTATAATTGACTAAAACTGATAATGATCAATAATCAATGATGATCAATAATGATCAATGATGATCAATGGTGATGATCAATGATGATCAATGGTGATGATCAATAATGATCAATGATGATCCATGGTGATGATGATGATGATCAATGGTGATGATCAATAATGATCAATGATGATCCATGGTGATGATGATGATGATGATTCTTATTATTACTAAAACTGATAATGGAGTATGTTAATGATCTTTCAACATGGGATGATCCCATTCGACTGAGCTTCCCCGGCGACCATCCAGATCCACTTCCTTGGGCTGTTTGCAGGACGTCATGCGGCAAAAAGACGCCAGGATTAATCACAATAAATGAAAATAATATACATATATATGTAAATATAATAATTACATATACATATATTCATGTTTTCTATATGTATCATATATGTATATGTAAATACCTGTATCATATACATACATATTATATATGATTATTATACATAAGTATGTCTGAATACATTCACATACCTCTATGATCATAAATGATATAGGATGGTCTACTTGGAAGTATACGACACATGGTTTGCGGTGCGAGTGCTTGACCCCTATCCGCCACCTAGTCAGAAAATATCTCGGACAAGTGTAAGCCAATTCCAATCATCCAAGATTTGGATCGAAGATTATCGAAGTAAAGAAAGCGTTGGGATGAAGGTTTCCTAAGTGGTTTCCAGTTGGTGTCCAGTCGTCATGGGGGTAGCCCCAGTTATCCCGTTGTCATGGCCTCTTGCAAGAGCCGCAAAGCTCGATCTTCGAGCCTTGGTGAAAACGGATCAGCCCATTCTCACGCCATTTCGAGCCGTTTTTTTCATCAAGAAATCCGAAAAAACAAGGTGGGCCAGAGAACCCAAAAGCAAGACGGCACACAGCACGCCTTTTCTTGAAAATCTTGGGGTGTGGCCAGCTGTGCTCTGCACGAAATCGACGTAAGATCTTTACTTAAACATCGTGCGCACTGATGGTATCAGGGGCCACGATTCACCACAGCATGCTGTGTCAGCTACGCCTACAGTCTTCTAGTCGCTATTTCTGTTAATGTAATTAACTCTATCCCATCTGTCTAGTCGCTATCTATTTCTGCGTTCTCGTTTAGTTTGCTTCGCCGCAGAGGGAGCGAGCACGAAGCGTGGACGGACAGAACGAAATGAAAATTAAACGACAGAGGGAGCTGACCAAAAGAGCATGAAAACGAAGATATATATGAAGGTGACAGATGGCAAATGATCATGAAAAATGAGACATGATAAAAGATGGGTAAAGACTTCTCTGTACAAAAGCTTCTTTGCATAAAAGCTTCTGCAAGTAAAAGCTTCTGTGGGCAAGAACTTCTCTGTGTAAAGGTTTTTGGTGTAAAAGCTCTTGTGTGTAAAATCTTCTGTGTAAAACGCGCTCTGTGTGTAAAAGTTTCTGTTTGCGAAAGTTTCTTTGCGTACCAGCTTCTGTCTGTAAAAGCTCCTCTGTGTTAAGGTTTTGTTTGTGTAAAGCTTCTGTGTGCAAAAGCTTCTCTGTGTAAAAGACTTCTCTGTGTCAAAGCCTCTGAGTGTACAAGCTTCTCTGTGTAAAAGTTCCTCTGTGTAAAAGCTCCTCTGTGAAAAAGCCGCTCTGTGTAAAAGGCTTCTGTGTGTAAAAGCCTCTGTGTGTGCAAGCTTCTCTGTGTCAAGACTTCTTTGTGTAAAGATTTCTCTGTGTAAAAACTACTCTGTGTAAACGCTTCCGTGTAAACTCTTTCCTGTGTAAACGCCTCCGTGTGTAAAGACTTCTCTGTGTAAACCCGTCTGTGTGTAAAAGCTCCTTTGTTTAAAGGTTTTTTGTGTTAAAAGCTTCTGTGTGTAAAACCTTCTGTGTGTAAAAGTTTCTGTGTGTAAAAGCTTCTGTGTGTAAAGGTTTCTGTGTGTAAAAGCTTCTGTGTATTAAAAAAACCTTATGTAAAAGCTTCTGTGTAAAAAAGCCCCCTGTGTGTACAAGCTTCGCTGCGTAAAAGCTGCTCTGTGTAAAAAATCTGTGCGCCGTAAAGTTGTCTGTTTGTAAAACCTCCTGTGTGTGTGTGAAAGCGTCTGTGTGTACAAGATTCTGTGTGCAAAAGCTCCTCTGTGCAAAGACTTCTCTGTGTACAAAGCTTCTGTGTGTGAAAGTTTCTGTGTGTAAAAGCTTTCCTGTGTAAAAGTTTTCTTGTGCAAAAGCTCCTGTGTGAAAAACTTCTCTGTGTAAAGGCTTTTTTGTGTAAAAGCTTCTGTGTGTACAAGCTGCTCTGTGTTAAAGTTTCTGTGCGCCGAAAGAACGTCTATCTGTAACACCTTCTGCGTGTAAATCTCGTTTGTGTAAGGACTTCTCTCGTAAAAGCTCCTCTGTGTCAAGACTTCTTTGTGCGAAAGGCTTCTCTCTGTAAAAGCCTTTGTGTGTACAGGCTTCTCTGTCTCAAGACTTCTCTGTGTAAAGACTTCTGTGTGTAAAAGCTACTCTGTGCAAAAAAGCTTCTGTGCGTAAAGGCTTCTGTGTCAAGACTCCTCTGTGTCTCTGTAAACGCGTCTGTGTGTCAAAGTTTCTGTGTAAAGGCTTTTTTTGTGTAAAAGCTTCTCTGTGCATGTCCCATTTTTCAGCCTTTGCAAACCGTTTGACCGGTCTTGGGACCATTTGACCAGTCTTGGGTCCACAATTTTTTCAGGCCAATCGCAATGATGGCATTTGTCCTGAAAAAACCCGTGCCAACAGCTCTGCCGCAAACTATTTTCAAGGTTTCCTATCCGTCCAGCATGTTGTCTCGCTCCCTCCAGCGAAGCTCTCCGCAAGCTATTTCCACGGTTTTGTCCCGTCCAGCATGCTGTCTCGCTCCCTCCCAGCAAGGCTCTCCGCAAGCTATTTCCACGGTTTCCTCTCCGTCCAGCACGCTGTCTCGCTCCCTTCCAGCGAAGCTCTCCGCTAGCTATTTCCACGGTTTCCTGTCCATCCAGCATGCTGTCTCCCTCCCTCCCAGCGACGCTCTCCGCAACCTATTTGCACGGTTTCCTCTCCGTCCAGCACGCTGTCTCGCTCCCGCCCAGCGAAGCTCTCCGCAAGCTATTTGCACGGTTTCCTCTCCGTCCAGCATGCTATCTCGCTTCCTCCCGCGAAGCTCTCCGCAACCTATTTGCACGGTTTCCTCTCCGTCCAGCATGCTGTCTCGCTCCCTCCCAGCGAAGCTCTCCTTAACCTATTTCCACGGTTTCCTCTCCGTCCAGGATGCTGTCTCGCTCCCTCCCAGCAAAGCTTTCCGCAAACTATTTGCACGGTTTTCTCTCCGTCCAGCATGCTGTCTCGCTCCCTCCCAGCGAAGCTTTCCGCAAGCTGTCTCGCTCCCTCCCAGCTCAGCAAGCTATTTCCACGGTTTCCTATCCGTCCAGCATGTTATCTCGCTCCCTCCCAGCGAAACTCTCCGCAAGCTATTTTCACACTTTCCTCCGTGCAGCATGCTGTCTCCCTCCCTCCCAGTGAAGCTCTCCGCAACCTATTTGCACGGTTTCTTCTCCGTCCAACATGCTGTCTCGCTCCCTCCCAGCGGACTTTCCCCAAGCTATTTCCACGGTTTTCTCTCCGTCCAGCATGCTGTCTCGCTCCCTCCCAGTGGAGCTCTCCGCAAGCTATTTTCACGGTTTCCTCTCCGTCCAGCATGCTGTCTCGCTCCCTCCCAGCGAAGCTCTCCGCAAGCTATTTGGACGGTTTCCTCTCCGTCCAGCATGCTATCTCGCTTCCTCCCAGCGAAGCTCTCCGAAACTATTTCCACGGTTTCCCATCCGTCCAGTTGTCTCGTTCCCTTCCAGCGAAGCTCCCCGCAAGCTATTTGCACGGTTTCCTCTCCGTCCAGCATGCTGTCTCATCCTCTCGCGCTTCCTCCCAGCAAAGCTCTCCGCAAGCTATTTCCACAGTTTTCGTCTCCGTGCAGCATGCTGTCTTGCTCCCTCCCAGCGAAGTTTCCTCAAGCTATTTCCACGGCATCATCCCGTCCAGCATGCTGTCTCGCTCCCTTCAAGCGCAACTTTCCGCAAGCTATTTGCACGCTTTCTTCTCCGTCCAGCATGCTGTCTCGCTCCCTCCCACCGAAGTTTCCCCAAGCTATTTCCACGGTTTTGTCCCGTCCAGCATGCTGTCGCGCTTCCTCCCAGCACAGCTTTCCGTCCAGCATGCTGTCTCGCTCCCATCCAGCGCAGTTTCCCCAAGCTATTTTCCACGGTTTTGTCCCGTCCAGCATGCTGTCTCGCTCCCTCCCCGCGCAGTTTCCCGAAGCTATTTCCACGGTTTTGTCCCGTCCAGCATCCGGTCTCGCTCCCTCCCAGCGAAGTTTCCCCAAGCTATTTTCCACGGTTTTGTCCAGTCCAGCATGCTGTCTCGCTCCCTCCCAGCGAAGTTTCCCCAAGCTATTTCCACGGCTTCATCCCGTCCAGCATCCAGTCTTGCTTCTTCCCAGCGAAGTTTCCCCAAGCTATTTCCACGGCTTCATCCCGTCCAGCATCCGGTCTCGCTCCCTCCCAGCGCAGTTTCCCCAAGCTATTTCCACGGCTTATCCCGTCGAGCATCCGGTCTCGCTCCCTCCCAGCGAAGTTTCCCCAAGCTATTTCCACGGCTTCATCCCGTCCAGCATCCGGTCTCGCTCCTTCCCAGCGAAGTTTCCCCAAGCTATTTCCACGGCTTCATCCCGTCCAGCATCCGGTCTCGTTCCCTCCCAGCGAAGTTTCCCCAAGCTATTTCCACGGCTTCATCCCGTCGAGCATCCGGTCTCGCTCCCTCCCACCGCAGTTTCCCCAAGCTATTTCCACGGCTTCATCCCGTCGAGCATCCGGTCTCGCTCCCTCCCAGCGCAGTTTCCCCAAGCTATTTCCACGGCTTCATCCCGTCGAGCATCCGGTCTCGCTCCCTCCCAGCGAAGTTTCCACAAGCTATTATTTCCACGGCTTCATCCCGTCCAGCATCCGGTCTCGCTCCCTCCCAGCGAAGTTTCCCCAAGCGATTTCCACGGCTTCATCCCGTCGAGCATCCGGTCTCGCTCCCTCACAGCGAAGTTTCCCCAAGCTATTTCCCCAAGCTATTTCCACGGCTTCATCCCGTCGAGCATCCGGTCTCGCTCCCTCCCAGCGAAGTTTCCCCAAGCGATTTCCACGGCTTCATCCCGTCGAGCATCGGGTCTCGCTCCCCCAGCGAAGTTTCCCCAAGCTATTTCCCCAAGCTATTTCCACGGCTTCATCCCGTCGAGCATCCGGTCTCGCTCCCTCCCAGCGAAGTTTCCCCAAGCTATTTCCCCAAGCTATTTCCACGGCTTCATCCCTTCGAGCATCCGGTCTCGCTCCCTCCCAGCGCAGTTTCCCCAAGCTATTTCCACGGCTTCATCCCGTCGAGCATCCGGTCTCGCTTCCTCCCAGCGAAGTTTCTCCAAGCTATTTTCACGGCTTCATCCCGTCGAGCATCCGGTCTCGCTCCCTCCCAGCGCAGTTTTCCCAAGCTATTTCCACGGCTTCATCCCCTCGAGCATCCGGTCTCGCTCCCTCCCAGCGCAGTTTCCCCAAGCTATTTCCACGGCTTCATCCCGTCGAGCATCCGGTCTCGCTCTGTCCCAGCGCAGTTTCCCCAAGCTATTTCCACGGCTTCATCCCGTCGAGCATCCGGTCTCGCTCCCTCCCAGCGAAGTTTCCCCAAGCTATTTCCCCGAGCTATTTCCACGGCTTCATCC